GGCAATAAAGAGAAGACAATATATAGAAAAAGCTAAGGAAAGAAAGTCATAGAAAAAGAAAATAAGTTGCAACAAAAGAATAAAATTTGAAATAAGACATTTTATGGTGGTTTGAAGAGCAAGGATTTCTGTTCCAAAAGTTTAAGATCTGCACATTGGTATTCTTTTATGATTGTACTTTAGCTCACTTTGAGTTGATACTTTATTACTCATGCATTTCACTTGTTAGTTCATTTCATTCATTTGGCCTCACTTTCCAACATTACAACCCTTCAAGTCCCCTTGATCATGAGTCTAAGGTATGTTAGTAGTGGAGACATTCGAATCTCTACAAGCTTATTGTAGGTGCTAATCTAGGTGGATTGAGTGAAATTTTTCCCATTTAAGAGATGAGTGAAACACTTGTACGCTATGTGAGCTTTATTATGTTTCTCTTCCTTTATCCAGCTATATTTCTTGTGTTTATTTCTTTGCACTGAAGTATTCTATGATTGTTGATTGATTAGGAATAAAGGTTGCTTGAGTTAATTGCACATTCATGCTTAGTCAATTTTATGTTTGCTTGGATTGAGTGTCTCTATTGGATTCTTCTTTAATGATGTTTTACCTAAGAGTGTAAAAGGCTAAGTGTGGGGGAGTTGACAAACCTATGTTTTTACATGCATTTTTATATATTTTTGTGGGTTTTGGTCATTATTATTGATTCTTAATTGCATTATTTGAGTAAAATTTATATTATAGTGCTTTAACTTGAATTAGTGCGTAATAGGGGTAAAATTATCATAATTGTGATTGATTGATTTTTAAGGACAATTAATGCTACCTTATTCTTATTCTTGAATTTTGGTTGCAGGTTTGTTGAAGAATTGGATAAAAAGAAAAAAGGGGAAAGGAATATATGAAATAAAAAAAATAAAAAAAATATAGGGTGCTATCATCTTCGTGAGGCCAGCGACGCAACCAGCGGGGGCTCGACTAGCGTTCAGGACCAGAGGACATGAGGGGCGCTTGGCGGCAACATGAGGACGGCAGAAGAGGATTCAGCTTGAACGAATCAGGGGCTGGACAAAGAGAGCTTGACAGCACAATCACAATTCAATATTCTCTCCATTCTCCACCAGTCTTCTTCTTCGCCGAATCTCCTATTGGCAGAGAGATAGCGAACAGAAGCAGTGAGTAGAGGACGGCCAGCGACGGCTGGAGGCGTCCAACAGAACAGAGCATCTTCTTCCTCTCCACGTTGCGACAGAATCAAAACCATAGGGCAGCCAGCGAACTAAAAAAACACGAACAGAACATGCTATGGCTGGAGCAGCGACAACGAAAGGGGACCCAGCGTGAACAATGTTCTTCCACGGCATCCTATAGTAGAATATTGATCATGGCATTTTTTATGGCAAACTATGGCCAGGACTCTGTAATTTTCTAATTCAACAATAATGGCAAGAGCTCAGATCATTAAAAAGGAGTTTTAGTTATTTTAATTTCCTGTATAATAGTTGTTTAACAATTCCTAGGTCTTAGGATAGTTATTCTGATTATTGAAAAATTTGTATTATTTAATCTGATTATATTTAGAAATTATTGTGGCCAGATTACTTTTTAGCATTTGACATTGGGCTATTTATAGCTTTAGTTTCAATTATAATGTTATGGTTATGAAATTTGTATTGATTTTAGAGTTAATATATTGTGATTTTCTGAGGTAGCTTGGAATCTTGACTCTTATTGTCTTTTGCTAGCTTTAATTCTATTGTTTTGGATTTAAGAGTTCTAATTAAGCATTAGTTTTTAGCACCCTTAATCCCATTTTACTATTCTGGTTATAGTTAGTAATTTAGGATTTTGAAAAATATTTTGTGACAATTCAAGATGGCTCAGTTCTTGGATTAAAAGTTTAATTATAATTTTTAATTCATTATTTTAACTTCCACATCTTTTAGAGTGAGGATTGTCTGCGTTGTTAAATTGGAGGATTGATTATTATTATTGTTTACTCGCGTGTGTCATTTTCATTTCCTTCATCATTATTCATTTTAATCATTTATATATATAAAAATAAAAAAGTATTTTAATTTCAATTTGATTCATAGTATTTACCTAGCAATTATCAAATCAAAAATCATTTTTATAGTTTAGGTTACTTGCATTTATTTACTAAGATTTAATTTCATTTTCAGCTCCTTAAAATGAATACGACCCGGATTATGCACTATATTGCTTAATTCGGTTAATTTTTAGAGTTACCCCAAAGCGACAAATTAAGGGCATTATTTTAGAATGTGAGGTCTCTCATATTCCGTTCCGGTCATCTCCAAAGTTGGGGCGTGACATGAAGGTTACAAACTTGTACCCATTCAATCTGAACAACAATCTTTGTGATTGGCATCTAAAGCATTACGATAAAATTATGAGTAATACTAAATAATCAACTTCAACTAATAATGCCCAGCTGCTCATTTGAGTAGAAATATATATATATATATATATATTTAAGCCCTGCAATGGAATTTATATGAGAAATCTTGCACAGATATAAATATAATTTTAAGCACCCATGATATCATCACTTAGACAAAACTAAGGCATCTCCTAAAGTGGATCCACAATTCACATAGAATAATTTGGATGTTCATAATCCGCACACAGCACTATTATCTAAGATAGTTCCTACATAAATAAAGAGATAAGTTATCATAAACCTAATAAAATTAAGAAAATAATATAATAAGTTAAAATCATGATAAGTGAGAAACATATAGGCAGGGTAATACTACTTAATAAGACAAGAAGTCTTACCTTTCCTTTTGCATGTCAGTCTCTCTCACTTTTTCCTTCTCTTTCATATGTTTCTTGTTTGGAAATCAAAGGCATGTATTTATATCTCTCTACTAAAGCATTAATTGATCTGACATTAATTTCCTTCTCATCCGTTTACCATTAATTACAATCTTCCTTCTTGTCCATTTACTATTAATTACAATCTTATCTACTATTTCTTTCTTCTCCAAGATTCTAAATCTTATCTAATATCTAATATGTCTTTCCTCTTAAATCAAATGGAATTACATCATTCGTGCCATTATTACGTGATTGCCTAAATAATTACTACTGTAAAAGTATTTTATTTACTAAATGACAGAATAATATTTATATAATGTTTTATATCTTTATTTTAGGATGTTACAACATAAATGAAAATTATGCGCTCAATACAATGAAATATGCAAATATCAGTGAATTACAAAGTTGCAGAAAGGAGCAGAAAGAAGGAAGCAAAAAGGTAGCAAGGGAAGAATCTTCAGGTGAAAGAGAGAGAGACCATAATCTTTTCCACACCCTCCATAACAGACTTTGTCCTTATTATACTCGGCTTGACCCTCCAAATCCCATCGTAACCGCGTTTTGCGTCTCCTCCTCTGTTTGTGCATACATATGAGATTTGGGATTCCTTTTGGGTCATTTCCTGAGCTCACTTCTTTTGGGATCGTGACACAAAGCCCAATCACTGAAAGCTTAATATGGCCCATGAAAATGAAATGCGACGCAAACTTGTGACGTGACAAGCTTTCACCGCAGGCAACATAACTATTGCTTAATATTTAAATATGTCCACCAGGTGCTGTGCATGGAGGTCGGCCGGCGTGGTATGATTGGCTGGGAAATTTCGTCCCCATCTTCTTTATTTCCCCTTTGTCAACCATGCATAGTCTTATGCAGGGTGTATTAGACATAAAGGTAGGACGGGAGGAAATAATTACTGACCGCGTCTAGAAAAGAAAAAGGAGACACGTCGATTTCTTCCCTTCCCATATGGAATGTTGAGGTATTTGGGTTGACTAGGAAGCTTCCTCGTCCCCCGCCTAATAAGTGTATCTGACTGGTTTTCCACCCCCTGATGAGGGAAATACGTCCCTTCCCTGCTATCATTTTCATCTTTTCAGAAGTCGACTCATGACTTGGTGTTGTGTAATTTAAAATTTCTTTTATCTCTGGAAATGGAATTTGGTTTTCCTGAGAGGAAGATATGTAAGAGAGTTCGCAGCGTTCTCTCTTCACAACTTGCAGACCCGTAACTCCCTCGCTATTTGAAGAGTAAAATACACTATAATTCTTTTTTTTTTTTTTGAACTGATACACTATAATTCTTTTAAAGGGCAAAAACGAATCGATTGTATAAAATACCTTGGCTAAAGGAAAGGGTAGAAAATACACAGAGCTTCCTTTTATGTTACATTACTTATAAAGATATTTCTATTTTCAAAATCGTTTTTATTTTAATATTTTACATTAATTATAAATATATTTTTATTTTAATGTTTTCAAAATTATTAGAAACTTCTACTGAAATCAAAGTTAATCAGTAATTACATGGTTGGCACTTGGCCCAAAAAAAAAAAAAAAGCAAAGTTACATGAGACACCTCCCTCTATTTTTAAAACTTCATTTTCATCCATCTAATTATTAATTCATCATTAAAATATATTTTAGACCAAAATACCCCCAATAATAATGAATGTTGTGCTAAAAAAACATTTAGGATAAATTATGCCATAACGAAATTTTCTCATCCAAATAATGGAGCTGTGCGGTGCTACTTCAACTTCATATTCCATAAGAAGGAAAAAAGTAATGTGGATAGCTAAAAAGTTGACCTTGGAAAAAGGCAAGTCAAAATTGCAAGAGTGAAGAAGTTGGTCGTGTCAAGTCCATATTCATGCACAGTGAAGCTATAAGCTTTATGCATCGCGAAGAAACTTCGTCTCCACCTCTTTCCTCCTTCTGTGTTCATACTTACTGAACTCGAGACGCGTTACATTATAACACATATAAGCTCCCATGCATGCACGTTTTTGCTTGTTATTTTTGTTTGTACAAATATATGTGTGTGTGTGTGTGTGTGTGCGCGCTTCCCACATTGAAAGACCTAAGCTTCAATTCGTCTCTCTAGCTCTTTCCTCCTGTGACTTCCTACTCGTCTGTTCATATTTACTACGACGATGATGATCATCACAGCTATCCTGCAAATGCTCCGCAATGGTTTTGTCCTCTCCAAGACTGTCATCTTCATCTGGGGTAACATCAATTTCTCTGTCTCCAGATCAAAATCTCTCGCCACTCGTTAACTTCTTTTCTTTTTTAATTTGCTTTCGTTCCACACCCACTTCTTTAATGGTATATTTCTAATATTCAGGTTTAGTTCTCAGCCATGCATTGGTAAACAAGGGGGTGGTGGACGTTTTCGCGGATTTCCTTGGAGATGATGACTATAATCTATGGAAAACGACTATGCTTGTGAGTTTTTTAGATGGATTATCGGCTGTGTTGAAAGTTGCTGTCATACACGTATCAGAGGCTTACATAGGTCGCTTCATGGCCATCATTTTCTGCACGGCAGCCTTTATTATGGTTAGTTATAGTTATCTTAAACTTACGCGACACTACAAAAAAACATGGTTTTAGCGACGGAATTTTGAATTTAGCGACGGAATTAGCGACAGATTAGTGACAGATTAACGACGGAACGGATTACCGAAGGAATTAGCGATGGAATTTGTTCCGTCGCTAATTCCTTTGTCGCTAATTAGTGACAGAGTTAGCGACGGATATTCCGTCGCTAATTAGGGACGCTAATTTTTCCATCGCTAATTACCAACAGAAAATCCGTCGCTAACTCGATTTTTTTAAAAATAAAATAAAATGCCACATGGCACCTCTACTAATTGCCACGTCATCACTGGGACCACCTCCACGTGTCGCTGCCACCTCACATCTACTGCCACGTGTGCGCCACGTGTCACCACCACATAATTCCCTTCTCAAAGTGACTTCTCCATGGCTTGAACCCAGGACCTCCTCCGTGCGCACGTGCGGCTTGACCAGTTGAGCTGCAATAAACCTGTTAACTTATTATGTAAAATTATATATATATTATATTATTTTACACAAACAATTATATATACATATATATTATTAAAAACTAAAAATATACTATATGATAATTTTAATCATAACTATTTTAATCGCTAATTTCTGACGGAATTGCGACGGAATTTCCGTCGCTAATTTTTTTTATAGATTAGCGACGGAATTAGCGACGGAATCTTTTTCTGTCAGACAATTCCGTCGCTAATTCCGTCGCTAATCCATCAAAAAAAAATTAGCGACGGAATCTTTTTTTTTTCCAGACAATTCCGTCGCTAAATACAGATTAGCGACGGAATTTAGCGACAGACAGAAATTTCGTCGCTAATCGGTCAAAAAAATTAGCGACGGAATTTCCGTGGCAAACTCCGTCGCTAATTTGCGACAGAACAAATTCCGTCTCAAATTCCGTCGCTAATTTGCGACAGAATTTGTTTCCGTCGCTAATCAGCTGTTTTTTTGTAGTGCGAGCTAGCTATATTAACTAGATTACTTAATTTTCTATCCCAATATGATAAAAATACTAAATAAATGACTATTTAAAAAATGAAAAATAAAATCAAGAAAAAAAAACTTTAAATTCTTCAAAAAAAATTTTAGCCCAAATTTAGGAATTTAGTATTAAGAAGAATAGAGTAAATAAAAAGTATTTTAATATAAATTTTAATTTAAAAAAGTATCTTTTTAGAATTTTCTTAACGAAGTCAACAATTTACACGTAAGTTTATATTTTTAAAATAAAGAAGAGATCCGTGTGATTAGGACAAAATGCAAGGGATGTGAGAATATTTTACTCTAAAATTTAAAATTCAAAGGATGAAATGAAACAAGGTATTATTTTTTATTGCAGGGGTTGGTGATACTATGGATTCGAGCATCACATCCGGATATCGTTACTTTGGTTTTCGCAATAGTACTCATCGCATTAGGCACGGCCGGAAAAGAGCCAACTTTAAGAGATTTTTTTGATTATCAACTAAGTGAAAAGGTAAAGAAAAAATGTACCGAGAAAAACGAAGGAGAGGACAGGGAATCATCACAAGAGAAAGAAAGATCAGATAAAAATGACAGCAGAACTACTAATCTTTGGTGGTCTGTCGCTTCCGTTATAGGTTACGTTACAGCTTCCTTGTTGTTAGGCTCAGCTTCTTGGCAGGAAAATTTTGGATTGTCGTCCATTGTTATGGGAGCTACGTGTTTACTGTTTATCATCGGCATTTTCTGCTTTTCTCTTGAGAAACCCTCAGAAAGCCCTCTCACTATCATTTACCGGGTCTTTAAGGCAGCAATTAAGAAGCGCAAATTGCCATACCCATCTTCAAAACAGGGCTATAACAATGAAGGTTTAGATGGTTTATCAGAAGATCTCTTTTATGAGAAAGAAAATGGCGAGGTTCACTTGTTGCCACGTCATCCATCGTTTTTGTTGTTCTTAGACAGGGCTGCTATGATGAACAACTCCGATGGTGAAGAGAGAGTAGTAAAAGAAGAGGTTTGTGCAGTCGTGCAAGTGAGAGACGTCAAGAACTTTTATCTTGTTCTTCCCTTGGGAATCACCCTCTTCGCATACAGCTTGGTTTCTGCTTCTGGTAATACTTACTTTGTTCTGCAAGCAAGCAACTTGGGTTCTTATTCCATTGGTGGTTTCTATATTCCTATCATGGTTTTCTTTGCAATCAAATCTCTGGTTACTTTTGTGGTCCGAATAATCCAATCAAGATATACAGTGGTGAGACCACTTTGGAGCATGGGTGTTGGGATGTTTTGCTCAGTAATTTGCAGTATTGCAGCTTGGCAAGTCGAATGTCGTAGGCTCTCTTTGATAAGGTTTCTAAAAAAACCAGAGGATGAGATTCCCATAAGCATCATGATTTTAACTCCACAGTATGTCTTGCTGGGGCTAATGGAAGGATTTGCAGAGGGTGGGCTTGAGGATTTCTTGAGTGATCGTTTGTACTCTGAGTCAATGAAAAACTTTGCGGGACCGTGCATTGAAATGTTGCTGGGGATTGGGAAATTCTCCAGCATCCTATTTGCATTAGTATTTCATATGTGGATCAAGGACGCCATCAACCGTAGTCGCCTGGACAAGTATTTTCTGCTGTTGGCATCACTCAGCTTCGTGTATCTTGGGATTTATATATTCTATGCCAAGTTCAAGTTCCAGAGACCCCAATTTGTATTTCCAGCAGAAACCATCCAAGAGACTATTACTGAGAGGATGGATGAATTATTACCAGTCCAGGTAGATATATTAATCGATAGTTAGTTGTGTTATCAGTTCAACTGTAAATTAAAGTAACTTGTGCCATATACTAAGTTTCCTTTATTATTTAATTTGTTGGAATGTGCATGCCACGTGTAATCTATAGTATGAGCTACGTGCAGCTGAGTGAGTAGCGTATCAACATGTACTATTCCTTGAAGAAGAGCCATTTTAAATATCGAAGAGGGTCACTGGCACTGCTCCGCGTATATCGAACCAATGAGCTAAACACTTAATTACCTTTCTTTCTTTCATATTCACTCCACATACATACTTAACACTCTACTCTTTAATATAAGTCACTTGTAACAAATTCTCACATGTCAAAAAATATATTAAAGAAGGGTAAAATTTTTTTTTAAAAAAAAAAGTACTCCTTCGGTCCCTAATATAAGACCTATTTAACTAATTTGATTAGATTAAAGAAATTATGTAAGTTAGTTAATTATAAGAAATATGACATATTTTTTTTAAAATATCATAATCATCTTCTTTAATATTCTTCCTTTCCCTTCTACTTGATGATGGTTGAGTGAGTATCTATAAGGGTAATTTAGAAAAAATTGATAAATATGATAAATAGATCTTATATTTAGAACCAAAATTAACTTAATAATTACATTTTATATTAAGAACCGGAGAAGCATTAAATATAAATCTGCGTATCTCTCTATCAAAGAGTGTGTCTGTGTCAATATCTCATTGGGTGGAGGAGGAGGAAAAATATGATGGAACTGATCAAGCCCAATCACGAAAGCTTAATATGGCCCATGAAAATGAAATGTGGCGCAAACTTGTGACGTGGCAAGCTTTCCCCGCAGACAACGTAACTATTGCTTAATATTTAAGCTTTGTCCACCATGCATTGTGCATGGATGCAGGCAAGCGTTGTATGATTGGTTGGGAAATTTCGTCCCCATCTTCTTCATTGAGGCACTTGGGGTTGACTAGGAAGGTGCGTCGATCTCTTCCCTTCCCATATGGAATATTGAGGCGCTTGGGGTTGACGAGGGAGCGTCTTCGTCCCCTGCCTATTAAAATGCATGTGACTGATTTTCCACCGCGTGATTGGGGAAACACGTCACTTCGCTACTGTCGTGACTTGGTCTTATGTGATTTAAAATTAAAAAAATTGTAATAAGGTCCCACATAAAAAAACTAAATACAAAAAATTCCTTAAAATTATTTAATTATTCTCAAACTTTAAGGGACCTCATTGTAATAAATTTTATTTGTTTTATTATCAAATTGCTTTTATTTTTTTTAAGTTTGTATTGACAATTGAAAAAGTAGTAGTTAACAACTTTAGGTATAAGTATTAACAACTATCACAGCATGTATTGACAATACATTTTCTCAGCACATCACAAAATATAATGCATAAATTGTCAATACCTGCTGCAATAGTTGTTAATTCCCACGCTTTAAGTTGTCAACGATTGCTTTTTCAGTTGTCAATGCAAATTAAAAAAAAAAAAGAGCAATTTGATGATTAAACAAATAAACTCTCTTAAGGTCTCTTGAGATTTCAGAATAATTTGATGATTTTAAAAAACTTTTTTGTATTTAATTCTCTTGGGTGGGATTTTGTTGAAATTTTTCCTTTAAAATTTCTTTTAAATATTTTGGAAACAACAACATTTATTAAATTAAAATAGTATTATAATTATAAATCTACCCATGACATCCATACGACACTCGTCTCATCGTGCTTGTCCTCCCCTGAGGTTTTTCAACTTTGTCACCATTTCTTGATTTGTTTCTCTCAGCTGTTGGATTTCTGAGGTTAATTACAGAGCGAGCCCCCTATAGTGTTTGTATACCATTTCCTTCTTTAGCTGTCGTCGATTGAGTAGTTGAGTTTAAATGACTTGAGCTGAGTTCCCGGGCATTGTGGTCCAGAACAACAGTTCCATTCAAATAATGAAGAGATGGAACGAACCGTATCATAGCTTACCTAATACAATGAACCGACTCGCAGATGAGCGGCCCACGGGAAAACTTGAATGATGCCAGCTTCCTCCTTGTCAGTTCATACATATATAATGACTTCCTCTAGATTGTTATATAAACATAAGTTATAACGCTTGCTTTCTCTTAACTCAATCATCAAAAGGAAGAAGAGATCATCCGGCTACGGTGGCATTAGTTCTCCGTCTAGAACGATGTAGACTAATAGTTTTTGCAGAAGCTTATTCGACTGCCTCCGCAATGGCTTTGTACCTTCCAAGACTGTCCTCTTCATCTCGGATATGTACACCCACCCACACACACACACACACACACACACACATATCAACATGCTCTTGTATGCTGAGTTAGCTATTTCTATTTCTATTGAATATCATTTTGACGAGATTCAACAAGAGCTAGCTAGCTTCTTGCTCTGATGATATTTATGATTCGGGTTTAGTTTTTAGCCATGCCTTGGTACAAAAGGCAGTGGTGGACGTTTTGATAGATCTTCTTACAGAAGATCTTTGTCTCGGCCTAATTAACGAGAGCTATTGTGCTTACGAACATGCTATTCTTCATGTCAGCTGTGTTCAAAGTTGCTGTTACTCACATATCAGAAGCTTACGCAGGTCCTTTCAATGTCATTATCTTATGCACCGCGGCCTATACCATGGTAAACTATCTCTTAATAATCTTTCAGCTTTCTAAACATACTCGAATCATGGATGGTCCCGTTGGCGGATGCTTATGATAGAAAAAATATCGTGTGTGTGTGTGTGTGTGTGTGGCCTGAAATTCTGTTCTGTATAAAATTAAGTGATTACACGCGGTTATAAATTAAACATCTTCTGGCGGCGAGTTGTCTCTGTTATGATATGTTTTTAGGGGCAAGAAATGAGAAACACTTATGCCTTGAGTTGCGATCTGCTCCTCTTCTTTCTTTCTTTTTTTTAGATAAGAAGTGCATTGTTAATTACGGGGTTTGATGCTACTATGGTTTCGCACTGGCTTGATTTTAGCCATAGTACTTATTGCGTTAGGCAAAGCAGGGGAGGAGCCATCTTTAAGAGATTTTTTTGACTATCAGCTGAGTGAAAAGGTGAGGGAAAAGTACCCAGAAGAAAATAATCGCAATGGAACTCGCAATAATCTTTGGAGTACTACTGCTTCCTTCACCGGCACTTGTATGGCTATCTTTTGGCTAGGCCAAAGCAAAGTTGAATGGTTGGAAAAGTTCGGAGTTTCGTCTCTTGTTATGGGAAGTACGCATTTATTATTCTTCTTCGGGATTTTCTGCTACTACCCTGAAGTAAGGTCCATAGGAAGCCCTCTTACTACCATTTGTAGGGTTTTCATGGCAGCTATTCGGAAACGTGGATTGCCATATCCATCGTCAAAAGAGGGTTATTAGTCCCATAATAATAATACTCAACAAGGTTCAAATGAGTCAGAAGAAAGACCCACAAAAAGCACTCTAATGACCTCCATTTCTGGGACAGCTATTGAAAAAAGTAGAATATTGCCGTACCCTTCTCCAAAAGAGAGTTATTCCTCCAACAGTTCAGATGATTTGGAAGATCCCTTTTATCGTAAAGAAAACGGTGATGTTCACTTGTTGCCACGTGATGCATCATTCTTATTGTTCTTGGATAGGGCCGCCATAAGTAGAAGCAACAAATTCGATGCTCAAGGTCATAAAGAGAGAGATGAAAAGGTTTGCACGGCGGAGCAAGTGAGGGACGTGAAGAGCCTTTATCCTTTAATACCCTTAGGGCTCATCATTTTCTTCGCCTACAGCTTGACTTTTGCTTCTGGTAACACTTTGTCATGCAAGCACAAAACTTGAACCCTAACGTTGGTGGTCTCCATGTTTCTGTTATGGTTTTCATTGTACTCCAATCCTTGGTTGCGTTCGCAGTGAGGACAATCCAAGCAATCAGAGGACTGGCGAAACCAACTTGGGGTATTTGTATTGGGATGTTTTGTTCAGTACTTTGTTCTATTGCGGCTGCGCTAGTGGAACTTCATAGGCTGAAGCTGATCAAGCCTCCTTTCAAAGAAGACCCCGACCATATCATTCCCTTAAGCATCATGGTTTTGACTCCACAGTATTTTCTGCTAGGGCTAACGCAAGGATTTGCAGAATATGGACTAGGGGCTTTCCTGTGTACTGGGGTGCCTGAGTCAATGATGAACTTTGTAGAACCGTGCATTGAAATGCTGTGGGGGCTTGGTAGTTTATCCAGCGCACTATTTGTATTGATTTTTCATAGCTGGATCAAGGAGTCCATAAACAATAGTCACGTGGATAAGTATTTTTTCATGTTGGCATCACTAAGCCTCGTGTTCTTTGGGATTTATGTATGTTGTGCCAAGTTCAGGTTACTAAAATTACCCCAGTTTGATGGACCTTCACTACCTAACCAAGGCACTATTGGAAGGATGATGAGTTTTCAGCTGGAAGTTCTGGCGGAAAATATCAATAGTTAATTGTGTTATCAGTTCATGATATGTAAAGTTATTATTTCAAGTGTGGTTTAATTTGTGTTTGTTATAGCGGCTCATGAAGTCTTCACATCTTTTTTATTTATATATGCCATTTGTAATATTCTTCTGAGCAATAATAATGGATTGGTCACACTGGTCATTAGTCACCTTTCTTTCTTCTTTTCTTCTTCTTCATGCTTTCGATTTTCGTGTCCGATAACATATATCTTGATCGGAACAATATTTAAATGTCTTTCAAAGCCTGTTGGAAGACCTAAAGGCGATCATGAGATCAACAGTTCTCGAAAATGAGGAGTGTATGTTTCTTATTAAAAAAATGATAAAAGATGTTTATATTCATTAGCCATATCTTTCTATTAAGGTCTTTTTGTATTTGTATTCATAATTAGACGTCTTATTTATATACTCCTTCCTATCCTGTTTATAAGCTTCAAATTTTAAAAGAGATATGATCTATTTTATAAGTTTCAATTTGGGTTTGTCTTAATATTGAATGTATTTTTTTAATGTTACCATTTATTATTTCTCTCTTATCACATCTTCTCACACATTTTCTTTTATTCTTTTTCTGATTTAGTATAAGAGAATATTTAAAAACAAAAACCTAATTATGGCATATTTATTATTTTTAATTAATTTTACCTAATTGTTCGTTGTTCGTTAATTAATTATTTGAAAGTTATAATAAATACAGGAGAAAATATTACATTATTACTACCTCTGTTGCTACATTTGGGAATTAGTTGAGGTGATTTTTTAATCCTAAATGTCTTATCTCAATTTTCACTTGATTAATTATGTGCTAATCATTAAATGAAAAGTATATATCATGGCTCAATTTTATTTTCTTGTCCTGTCAAGCTTGGGACAAATATAAATTTCACCAAACAGACAATAAAACAATTAATTAAGTTCGATCAGTTCGTAAGATCATTGATCAAAGAGGAAAAAAAATACTACCTCCAGTCTTTAATATAAGACTCTATTTGATTTTTATTTTGGTCCTAAATATAAGACCCTAATCCACTTTGTATCTCATATTTACTCAATTTTTTCCAAGATAGTCCTTCTAATAATTATATTTCTAGTCAATACACTTGATTAGTAAATATATTTTAGGAAAGACAACACTTATTTAGAACAAATAACTAACTCAACTTACTTCTTTAATCTCCTCAAATTAGTCAACTGGCTCTTCTAATTAGGACCTAAGGTAGTATTCAATTGTAAATTCTTTCTGTGACTACAATGTTCTAATCAAAGAAGAGTGTGTTTTTCATAAAGATCTGCAGGGATATAAGACTGGAAAAGGATATATATAATTCAACAAGACATTGTTATTATTATTAATTGATTGATGAAAAATATGGAGTGGGTATTATTGATAAGGATAGTAGCTAGTTGGTACGCTGTACGTATCGCCTGGAGTCAAAGTGCATGTCCCCGTAAAAATGAAAGCCATACACCCAGTAACAAGTCATAATTATTTTATATAATTATATATATTATATGTCGATGAAGTTTGATAAAATAAGAATTTAAATGCATAATAGGTTTACATCAGCTTTATACGAGTCAAGTTCAACTAAGGGTCAAGTCCTTTAATTTTATGCCCTCATGCCGTTTGCACGATTCTAATTTATCTTATTTTATTTCATTTTATAACTTCTTACATTTTTTGTTTTGTTTTTTCGCAGTTGCCTGAATTGACTGCCATCAGAAAAAGAGATGAATAATTGTTATGCACTATCATCTGTTTGTTGGTGAACTAGAGGCAATATATAATACTCCTCCAGTATTTAATATATGACCTAATTAATAAGTTAATGTTGATCCTGTATATAAGATATATTTTTCATGTTTATCAATTTTTTTTTCAAATTAACCCCATTGAAATTCCCCCAACAATAAACAAGTACGAAAAGGAGGGAAGGAATTAAGAAAGATACTTAGGGTGTCTTAAAAAAAATCATATTACATTAACTAATTTCACTAACATTCTTAATCTAACTACTCAAATTAGTTAAGTAGGTTTTATAATCAGTACTAGAGGAATATATTATAGTGTGTGTTATAGCGTGTGATGATCAACATTTACCATATATTCTATATTGAAAATATTTGAAATTTTGTATATTGTTTTGACTCGATCATGATGATCCCCGGCCAAATGCGTAGAATATAACAAGCTGTATATCAAAATGTCTCTGTTTGTGTGTCTTCATAAAGATTATATTTTTACATTATTCATAAGTCATTAATGGTCTGTGTCATGTAATTTTAGAGTAATATATTTGCTATTTATCCAGAAAAATAATAAATTACTTTTGTTATTGTCTATCTTTATCGATCATGGTTTGACTTGGAAGTTTTCTTAATCACACACACATAATAATTATACATGTTTCAATTTAACGATCAGAGACTTATTCTTTTTGTTAAAATATATTTGATATGTGAAATATTTTACTGAATAATGATGTTTGATAGAATAGACATAAGAAAGTGATCGGAAATACTTTAAAGTAAAAAGATTTAATTGCCCCAAATTAACCCTTAATAGGTTTTGTGTTTGGAATCCAAATGGAGTCCCCACCTTATTTCTTCTTCTTCTTCTTCTTCTTTTTTTGGAATATATGAGACAAAAATTATTTATTTGATGGCATATCAAGCTATGGGAAATTGGGAGTCCCAGCTTTTTATGATGCTCAGAACTTTTCCTACCAAACGGATATCAGTTCCCAATTTTTACCGTTCAATGGAATAAAGACAAATTATTAAAATGATGTGACTGCTATTTTCTTTAATTTTCTTTGTACAAGTAAGTATGATTACATTTTATTATCTGTCATGAGTTTAAAATTAGCAAGCTATTGCATATATACATATACATAACAACATGTCCTTGTATGGCTTATTTTTTCATGTTGGCGTCAGTAAGCTTCGTGTTATATGGGATTTGTGTATGTTGTGCCAAGTTCAAGTTACTAAAATTACCCCAATTTGATGAACCTTCACTACCTAACCAAGGCACTATTGGAAGTGTTCAGCTGGATGTTCTAGTAAATGATATCAATAGTTAGTTGTGTTATCAGTTCAAGAGTTGTAAATTTATTATTTCAAGTATGGTTTAATTTGTGTTGGCTATAGCAGCTCATGAGGTTTTCGCTTTTTATTTATTTATTTACATATGCCATCTGTAAGATTCTTCTGGGCAATAATAATGGATTGGGCACACTAGTCATTAGGCATCTTCCTTTCTTCTTTTCTTCTCCGTCGTGCTTTTGATTTTCCGTGTCCAATAATATATACCTTGATCGGAATAATATTTAAATGTCTTTCAAAGGCTGTCGGAAGACCTAAAAGATCATGACATCAAGCTTTTTGAAAATGAGTAAGTGTTTCTTATTAAAAAAAAAATGATAAAAGATCTTTCTATTAAAGTCTTACTTCTTGTACTTGTATTCATAATTAAACGTTTTTCTTGTATACTCCGGTTTTATTTATAAGTTTTAAATTTGAAAAGAAATATGGTTCACTTTATAAGTTTTAATTTGAGTTTTTCTTAATATTTAATGTATTTTTTCTAATATTTTCTGTAATTATTTTTCTCTTATCATATTTTCTTAGTTGTTGTTTTTTTTTCATTATTTTATTATTTATTACGATTGTGTGAATACGTTATTGGGTTAAATGGCGAAAAGAAGCTTATACAAATGGACTCTATGTGATTGCAGGCATTCATCAAGGACGAGTATAATGGGCTAAGCCCAATCATATAAGCCCGATATAAAGCCCATGAAAACGAACATGTCATAACAGAATTTAATCAAACAAAAGCTGAAAACGCCTTGATGACTATTTATGATGTACGGGTGTGTTTGGATGAAACCAAACCGTGGTTTGGAAAAGTGATTCTGGAGAATAGATTCTAGGAAGAATAGATTCTGAAAAGAATAAATGTTATGAAAAAGTGATTTTGAGAAGTGAGAGTGTTTGGATAGTTGTTATCAGAAGCACTTTTTATATATACAAATTACTAAAAAAAAGACATAAGTTAATATGATAATTACAGAAAAAAATAGATTTTATGATATATTTTAATTTGAAGGAATAAAATTGTTAATAATATATTTTTTATTAACATAATTAATAATACATAAGATAATATAATTAATAAATAATTAATATGTATATATATTTTTAAAATATAAGATTAAATATATTTATAAAAAAATATGTTTATAAAAAAAATAACAAGATACATATCATATAGGCTCTCACACTCTCCCTTTTTTCTCCAAAAGCAAAAAAATTTTGTTTTTTTCAAAACCATGGTTTTGGAGCCAAAACCATGGTTTTGGTCTAAAACCACGGTTTGCCCAAAATCAGTGGGTGTTTGGGTGACTTATCACCCAAACCATGGTTTGGGTCCCCAAACCATGGTTTGGGGTGTCACCCAAACGGAGCCGTAATAGTAATCTAGAAAAGGTCATAGTAATTTGTGAACTGATCATTGATCAGCTCTATTATGCACTCTTAATTTCATGCCCTCACACTTTTTGCACAATTCTAATTTATCTTATTTTATTTCATGGTTTGGGGTGTCACCCAAACGGAGCCGTAATAGTAATCTAGAAAAGGTCATAGTAATTCGTGAACTGATCATTGATCAGCTCTATTATGCACTCTTAATTTCATGCCCTCACACTTTTTGCACAATTCTAATTTATCTTATTTTATTTCATTTTATAACTTCTTATATATATTTTGGTTTTTTCGCAGTTACCTGAATTGATTGCCATCAGGAAAAGAGATAACTAATTGTTATGCATTATCATTTTTTTGTTGGTGAACTAGGGGCAATATAATACTCGTCCGGTCTTTAATTCAGGACCTAATTGGTAAGTTGATATTAGTTCTATATATAAGACTTATTTCACATATTTATCAATCTCTTTTCAAATTGACTCTATTGAAAT